AATAAATAATTAAATAAAATAACTATAAACTTCAAAGTCCCCCACTTCGTCTCTCCTTTCCCTTTCTAAAAGACACCAAAAAAACTGCTTCATTTTCTTCAACACTTCCTCTCTTCGATCTCTGCTCAATTCCCTCCAACTCATCTCTTGTAAGCTCTCTTGCACAATCTATTTTTTGCAACCATACATAATTATCTTGATTTACTTCTTTTAACAATTTTATTCCTTCTATATCTTTTAGTTTCTCTAGGCTTTCTAGGTTTAATTCTCTTATGTTTATCAACTTATTTGTTTTTTATTACCTCTGTTTGGTTACTGAGATCACGTCGAAATGTTTAAAGCCATTGTTTTGGCTCCAATTCAACATAATTTACGAAATCTAGCTCCTCTCAAGTTTTTTTTTTTCGTTTTCCTTTATTTATTTTCCTCAGCAACCAACCGGTTTGAGACAGGAAACTCAAAATTTTTTTTTATGTTTTTTTAATCTTTTGCATTGAGATTTTGCATGTAGAAGCCCTACACGGAATTTCTGTGTTGTGGTAATGTGGCTTTAGTTTTTAATTAGCTAATGTGGATGTTAGTGATTTCAATTTTTTATTTTTTTTTGGTTTAGGCTTTTCTTGGTTTAATGTGGATTGAGATGAGCTGGTGATTTAGAATTAGAGGCTTTGAGGTGTGATTGTTTGAATACAATGCGATTGTTCTCATCAAGCTCAAGCTTCAGTCTGACAAAAGAGCAGAGTAGCGGTCGGAGCAATCGTGTAGCGTTGTTTCTCAATGTGTATGACCTTACACCAGTAAATAACTACCTTTACTGGTTTGGGCTTGGGATATTCCATTCTGGTATTGAAGGTCGGTAGACTTTCTGTTTTCAGTGTTGTATAGTGTCAATTTATTTTTTACTTTTTGGGTGCATATTTGAACAATTTGTTTTTTTCCTTCGATTGTTGGATTTGCCTAATAACTTGTGGCTTATTTTAGATTAGGCTTTTGTATAGTTTCCTGATGGTGGTTGTTAAATTGATTTCTATAAGTTGGGTTGCTGAATTATTGATTATCTGGCACACATTTAGTACTTGCGTTGATGAGGTTTTTGAAAATTGAGTTTGAGAAAAGATATTGTAATACTAATTTCTGGGAATGTTGGTGTCTATGCATTAGTTTAGTATCTTTGGCTAACTGGCTAAGTAAGATGACTTAAAAGGGATACAATGCTTGCTTTTATGGTTTTTGCTTGAACAATGAAAATGGGAAGTCTGTCTTATAAAGCCAAGAGGTTGCTGTCCATTCAGTTTGAGAATTGACTTGAAGAATTTAGTTGATAACAAATCAAGGTACAAGTAGCCAAATGCTTGAACTATCAAACTAATTTTGTTGTAATTCTAAAATGTGGTTTTGTTTTTCTAAGCATTTCTGAGTTTGTTGATTATTTATAGGATATTAAATGATGATACAAATAGTATATGTGGGTGTAAAAACAAAGTGGCTGAACCAAAGCTTTTCTTTGCCTGTGGTAGGTTGGTTGGTTGTGGGGTTGGGTTGGGTTTGGGGGTGGGGGGTGGGGGGTTTGGTGGTTGGGTTTGGTTTGATGTTGAAAACTGACTAAGGATTACTATGTATCTGCTAATTTGGGAACAAGGATAATAAAATCATCCTCAACTCAAAACATAAACAAGATTTGTGGCACAGTTGAGCTTTAGAAACTAGTTCAGCTGCTCTGCCTCTTTCACATAGCATCTAAACTATGGTTCTGATAGTAAAAGGTTTTTGAAATGATTAGGCTGCATCTATACATTGGTTGGGTTCATAGCCTAAAGGTGTAGTTGTTAACAAGCAAAAGGGATGTTGGATTTAAAATATCATCAATATTATTCTGCTTCCTTGGACTCAGAAGAACCACAGTACATGCTTTGTTCTATTGAAGCTATGCTACATGAGCTCTGTGCCTCTTTTGCCATGCTATACTTCTCATGTCCATGTCACAAGCATTTGATTCCACCTCTGTCACTGTTTAAAACCATGATTCATTAAACTGAGAAAGGTTGTCAGAAAAAGCTACGACATGGATTACGCTTATTCTTGTTGCATTTAGCCAAGATTTTTCAAGAAAAAATTAAGTCCCATTTGCTCTCATCTATGCTTTACTCATCTCTTATCCTATGTGTAAAGAAATATGAAAGGCCAAAGGAATTTGGTTCTCAGGCCTCAAGGATCTGCTTGTAAAATTAGTAGCTATACTGGTTCAGATTATGGCATATTGAGAGAGTGATACATGCAATTGCTCAGATTTTCACGAGAGGAATCTTCAGTTGTAATTGATCTTGCTGCTGGATGTACACTACGTACTTTTTATCATTTAAGGGAAAAAAGCCTCTTTGAGTTCCAGCTTCAACACAGTCCCCCCGACAGGCATCGAGTAATTTATAAGGTGCTATCTATGATAATTTATTGCCATTAAAGACAAAAAATAACTTAATGTTTTTATTTTAAGGGAACATAGGAATTATTGAGGCCAGGTCTCGGAAGTTATTACACACAACCTTCTGGAAACCCTGTGGAAGAGCTTCATTCAAAAGGTTGATTATACAAATGCATTCAACCTAAGCTGTATGTTAAAACAATTAGAATTAAGCATAAGCGAGTTGTGTGGCTCATGTTGTAATCATTATATACAAGTTCCTTTTGATGCTATCTTAACCACCATATGAGGTTTGTTCACATAATATGTTGTTCTGAGGTAATTGTATCTTGCTTCTGGATTATAATTCTTATGTCTATTTACCTGGTCTTTATCAGCTCATGGATTGGAATACGGCTTTGGCGCCCATGAGTACCCTACCAGTGGAGTTTTTGAGGTGGAACCAAGAAGTTGTCCTGGCTTCATTTTCAGGCGGTCAGTGTTGTTGGGCAGCACAAACATGTCTCGTTCGGAATTTCGATCCTTCATGGAACAAATTTCTGGGAAATATCATGGGGACACCTACCATTTGATTGCCAAGAACTGCAACCATTTTACTGAGGAAGTCTGTTTGCAGCTAACTGGAAAGCCTATTCCAGGATGGGTAAATCGCCTGGCTCGATTAGGTTAGTGAAAATTATATGTCCAGAAGTATCTCCATTCTAACTGGGGCCCATACGGTTAAGTAACTGTGCACCATCATATCTGAGGGTACCATAGTGTCTAACTTCATGCCCTTGTAATTGGGCACCTTTTGGCTTGCACGTAACCAGATTATCCTAACATAATCATGTTGTTGTTTGAATTTTCAGGTTCTTTCTGTAATTGTCTGCTGCCAGAGAGCATTCAGATAACTGCAGTTAGACATCTTCCCGATCATCCATCCTATTCTGGTAAGTTTGTTCAGATAAATATGCTTCTGAGGCTTATTACCTGAACATTTTTATTTTTGCTTGTTTTCTCTCCTTTTGATTTATAATAATTCACTTATCGACTGTCATAAAGCGTTGGCATGTGAATTTTGTGCTCATTTTTTTTATGTTATTCCACTTTTGAGGGAAAAAGAATGAGACAGATAAAACACAAACATAGCTCCTTCTATTTTAGTTTATTCATTTTCTACCTATATGATAGATTGGTTTTATCATCTCTTGCGCTACTGGATTTCCCCTGTGGAAAATCTAAGTACCATGATTAAATGATCTAAGATGCTCCGTATGGTTGTCACCGATTGAAATTATGATCTGCTTGTAAATGGTTTGAATGACTAGTGATATTTTCAATGAAGGCTGAGGATTTGTTAGGATGTTTGTTGGGCATGATCCTCTAGGTCCTGAGAACAATGAACCTGTCTTGCCCATACATGGGGAGAATGATTGTGCAGAATACTTTGTGGATTCAGGTCTTTAATTCAATCCTGCTTGGTTGCAGTTTAGTGGATTTATTTTTTGGCTAGAGTACTTGGGGATCTGAGTCTGTCCTCTGATGTATTCAGCCAAAAACATCTGATTCTTCTGTGTTGATTTTTTAGAGAGAAGCCTTGAAAGTGTGGGATTTAAATTCTTTGAATGAGTATTGCTGTAACTTCATTCAATTTGTTATTGTAATGCAGATGATGATGGACCAGAGTCTGTTGTGTCATCTTTAACGGCTGGGAGCGAAGATGAGGAGGCAGATCATCATCTGCTGACTTCACCAAATAGTGATGTTGCTTTTCTAAAAGATAAACCAGTGAGGCTAGCAAAGGAACTACTTTGATTTTTTTCCTTCCAACGATTCCTATTTTTTTTTTTTTGACTACCGTGGGTCTTTAACTGTTGTTTGTAATTGTAGTATAAAATGTAGTGTATCAAGGAATCCACCGTCTCAGTTTAATTTGAGCTCTTCGATATCTCTTTTCTATTGCCTACATTTGTTCTAACTCATGATTATGTTCAGGATTCAGCTTGTTACAACCATAATATTCAATTTGTTAATGTGTAACCCTTGTAATTCTAGCGACGTTGATAAATTCATATTAAACCGGTGTATCAGTTTATGAATCTTGTCGAGTACTTTTATCATATTTCATATTTGGGATATGGTTTTGGCTGCCTTGTTTTGCTTGATGAGAAAAATCTCTGATTGATGTTGAAGAAATTGGTGAGAAAAAGAAATGTTCTAAAAACCGGACTCGACCGGTCGATTGGTGACCCGCGCCCTCTTTGGTTCGGTTTACTATTTTAAATTGTTCAACAAATCCTTAATTTGACTGTTAGCGATGGAGAGGCTATCAAGCGTCGGAGTTAAATGGGGTTTTGTAGGGTGGAGGTCGGTGGTTCAAGGGGTAGTGTCGGATTGAATTTTGGATGCCAGAATCAGTCAGAATTTGGTCGAAAAAATCAACCCAATACGCAAGTCACGATTTGCGAGCTGGAGGATACCAAGTGTCGGGGTTAAAGGGGTTTTGTAGAGTGGAGGTTGGTGGTGTCGAATTGAATTTTGATCGTCGGAATCAGTCAGAATTTGGTTAGAAAAATCAAAACCTTAACTGTCGTAGGGGTGTGTTTGCAAGATTTTAAACCTGCAGGGATTGATATTTTTTAGGAGTGTTTTTGCAAGATTTTAAACTTTCGGGATCATGGGCAGGTTTAACCTGTCAACCTGGGACCCGGCCCCTTGGCACCCCAAGTCGGGTTTCAGAACATTGAGTGAGTGATATTTGATTGGTGAATAGGATACAAGTTGATGACCAGAGCCAGAGGGATTGAGAGAAATGTGTGCCTTGTTTGAAGAACAATGGTGATGCTCGAGACACAAATAAGAAAAGCACTTTATGACAAATACAGATACAGATACAGCCACAGCTACTAGCCTACTTCTTTTAATTGCTTATTCAAAAGAAAGCCGTAAATTAGATGACTTAGCTGAGGATGTTAAGACTTATGCCCAATTATGAATTATCTTTATTTAAGGGCCAAAAACTTCTAAAATATAATAATTCTAAAAAAGTTAATACAAACAAACTTATCTTGCCGAGTTATTTGATGAAAATATTAAACAAAGGTTTAATAAAGAAAGACCGTGTCTGAGGGTGAATGGACTTGGGAAATCTGAAAGCGGCAGCCCAACCAATGGATTTCATTCTACATAAAACATTTGCAAATAGTTTAGTCTGAGTCCCAATCAAACCTCTTTCAGTAACTACGACCGCTCAATTTTCTTGCCCAAAAAATACTCAAGACTAAGAAGGTTGGAGAGACTTGCAAGGCACTCGTTTCTTTTGAGTCAATTGGAAATATCCCACCTCTTCTTTCCAGCAAAAAGAAAAAGAGAAAAGAGAAAAAGGAAAGTAAAGAAGAGCTTCAGCGCCTTCACTGAAAAAGACAATATAACCAATACTAATACCCAAGCAGGCTTAAACCAACCATTAGCAGTTGAAGCTCTTGTTTATTTGACATTTGCAGTAATGGCTTCCTTTTTCTGCTTCATTCTCTTTGTAACTTCATTCTATGCTAACACAAACCCCATTGAAGCAAGCTGGCCTACTGTAAAATGCAGTCATGACACACCTGAACCTGATATTCATTTCCCTTTTCGGTTGAAAGGCCAGCTGCCTCAACACTGTGGTTTTGAGCTGTTTTGCAAAGAAAACACCACTATGATTCACTTCCCATCTTATGGTGACTTGGTTGTGAAATCAATCTCTTATGATACCAAAAAACTCCAACTTCTTGACCCCAAAAATTGTGTACATGAAGTTTTTCTGAATCTCAATCTTTCTACTTCGCTCTTCCGCTATTACTACGTTGTGAAGAACTACACATACCTCAATTGTTCGGCTAGGCTTCCGCCTTCTTTCAAGAAAGTTCCATGTTTAAGCGGCTCTACACATTTTGTTTACACTGTGAAACCTTCTTTGGCTGTTCCATTGTCTTGCAGCGTAGTGAAAACAATTGCAATTCCGTTTGCATATAGTCCTTATATCTCTGACAATACTTTCGGACTTGGACTAACTTGGGAATTGCCTGGATGTGAAGACTCTGAAGGAAAAGGAGGCCTGTCTAAAACAACATTTCTCAATTACATACCATATCGTCCAGGCAAGTTTTCATTATTTTTGCTCATAATTAATTCCTTAGAGGTTTTCATTCCATACTTGTTTCTTATAGTGATTCTGTATAACAAAGCTCAATAGCTCATATATCTGCAATCATGTTCAAAATTTTATTTTTGTGTCTATATAAAAAATTAAAATAAAATAGGGAAAAACTTATCTGATTATAGGTGTATAACTTATTTGGTGCCAAAATCAAATAAAATAGTAACAGTGAAACAAGAATCGGATAAAAATGTAAGAATGTATACAGGAGATATTTACTAATAGTGTTGAGCCACTAGTATGTTATAAAGAAATCACTGGTTCATGGACAAAAAAGTAAATGCAAAAATGGGATCAATATAAAGAAAATAAGAAATAAATGGCTTTGGGTATTTCTCCATATGAATGATCTTTTTCTTTCTTGACCTTGTCTCGAATTTACATTGATAGTGATTCATCTTTGTAAAGCAGGTTTGATGTGAAACTGGGGCTATACCTTGAGAATCCTTGATAGTCAAACATTGGATGAAAAGTCCAGATGCAAATTTGGAAGGATGGTTTTAGATTTTTGTCTTACATTATCTTGTGTATATGTAATACAACTTTTACTTAAAAAGAAATAGGAGGCTTTCTCCATATATAGCAAAGTTGTAGTGTAAATTTCATGGCAACATTAATTGTCATTGTAAAACTTACGTTCACCAATGTTACATAATACACTATCATATTGAGTGATTGAGAGTATGTTACGATCCCACGTTAAAAAGAAAAAGGGTGGGCATGTGGGTTATAAAGGCTTGGGCACCCTCCTTTGGCAAGCCGGTTTTCCAAGGAGAGTTCTATCCAAGCCCATGAGAGACCCATGGACCAGCCCAAATTGTTGAGTTATTGGAGTGGGTTCCTATCAATTGGTATCAGAGCATGATCCTGGGCCTATGTGGCAGCGCACGTGTGGCAGGCTGACCCGTGGTAGGTTGACCTTGGGCCCAGGCTGCTACCCCGAGAAAGGGCATGGAGGCCCGAGGGAAAGGGGATCTGCGTAGTCACCCAAGGGGTAAAGAGGCCGACGTGGACGTCGGTTGCGGAAGCGTGGTGGAATGTTAGGGTCCCACATTGAAAAGAAAAGGGTGGGCATATGAGTTATGAAGGTTTGGGCACCCTCCCTTGGCAAGCCGGTTTTCCAAAGAGAGTTTTACCCAAGCCCATGAGAGACTCATGGACCAGCCCAAATTATTCAGTTATTAGAATGGGTTCCTATCAGAGTATAAATGGTTGGAGATAAGTTTCTTATTTCTCCTTTATTTAACATTTGGTATCAGAGCGTACAATACCTCTGCTTTTAAATCTGTCAACTTGGGACTTGAGCCAATGATCTCCGAGTAAAGAGATAGGGTATTGAGCCAAGTAGGCCACTTTACGTTTTTGTCATTTGGTAAAAGGCCATTTATACTCCTCTAATTTTGCTCATTATATTATGCATATTATATTAATTTTGGTTTAATCATATGCATTTTTGGATAAGTTAAATTGTGTAAAATTCTAAATTAATTATGCTCATATTTATTTTTCATGAATTGATTATATCTTTTCTAAATTAATATATGCAATTTTTGAATGAATATATACGGATAAAAGCATGAAATTAAATGTTATGCAAATTATGCAATATTTTATGCATAACAATAACATGTTAGTTATAAATTGAATTATGCAATTTATTCTTATATTAAATTTTCTTATGCTGGAGAAATATTCTCATAAAACTTAAATTTATAATGTCTTGTGATCCATATAATTTTAATTAATTAGGGATTAGCCACAATATCTTTAGTTAAATAAAATTATACATGATTATTTAGGATCACATAAAGAATTATAGACATTAATTGTTAATGTAATAAATTTTATCTCACAGGATATTTTGTTATACTTATATAATTAATTAGGGTAGAATATCAAATTATATTTCTTAATTTACCCACATGAATTAGGAGAAAAAAAATAATTTGATAGTTTTATCATAAAGATTAGGATAGAATATAAAATTACTATCATAATATACCCACTAATTATGAATTAAGAACATAATTTGATAATTCTATCACAAGTTGTACATGAATCTACTTGAATTAAAATTTTAGCCCACAGACAAATTTTATGTCATTAGATTCAGTTCTTACATGTTTTGCATTGGTAAAATATGAAATTTATTTAATTAGACCTCAAGTTTTTGATATAAGCAATTTTAATTAATGCAACTTCACAACCTGCTAATTTCTCTAATATTTGCTGCGATATCCCTGAATTGAAAGGTGATAACTATAAGGTATGGAAGGAGAGAATTCTCCTCCATCTAGGATGGATGGATATTGACTATGCTATTAGGAAAGACGAACCACCATCTATCACTGATACCGACACTCTAGTGGACATCACGCTTTATGAATGATGGGAGCGATCTAATCACTTCAGCGTGATGTTCATTAAGACTAAAATTTCTGCTGGTATACGTGGTTCCATCGATTAGCCTGAAAAGGTCTAGGACTTGCTGAAAGCCATTGATGATCAATCCATCACTTCAGATAAGGCATTGGCAAACACCCTAATCATGAAGTTTTCATCCATCAGACTCACCAGCATGAAAGGTGTGCGTGAGCACATCATGAATATGATGGACATTGTGACTCAACTTAAGAAACTCGAGGTTGAGATGTCTGAATCCTTCCTAGTGCACTATATCTTGAACACCCTTCTACAATAGTATGGGCCATTCAAAATCTCGTACAACACACATAAGGACAAATGGTCAATCAATGAATTAATGACCATGTGTGTTTAGGAAGAAGGGAGGCTTGTGATAGAGCTTGGTGAAAGTGCAATGCTGGCAACAATGCACCGAAAAGGCAAACATCAAGCCAATCAGAAGGGGAAAGGTAAAACACTACCCCAAGCTGATATCAAGCAAGAGACCAAATGTTTCTTCTGTAAAAAGAAGGGACACCTGAAGAAAGATTGCCCCAAATTTCAGAAATGGCTTCAGGATAAAGGTAATCCAACCTCATTTGTTTGTTATAAATCTTATATGGTTAATGTTAATATTAACACCTGGTGGATTGACTCTGGATCTATAATTCGTATTGCAAACTCCTTGCAAGGTATGCAAAATCTAAGGAAACCAGTGGGAAGTCAGCAAAACATCTTATCCGGAAACAAGATGGGCTCACATGTGCAGGCCATAGGAACATGTGTTTTAACTTTAAGTAATAGTTTTGTATAAGAATTAGATAGGACCTTCTATGTTCCAAGTTTTTCATGAAATTTGGTTTCAGTTTCCAGACTTGTACTTTTGGGATATTCCTTTAATTTTTCAAATGCATCATTCAGTTTATTTTATAGTTCTCATTGTGTTGGGAATGGTATTTTGTCTGATGGTCTTTATCTATTAATTTACAAGACAATACACTTATAATTCAATGCATGTTCACACTGGGTCTAAGCGGTATATTATTAACGAGGACTCTTCTATGTTATGGCATCAAAGATAGGACATATCTCCATAGATAGAATTAAGAGATCAGTGAATGATGGTACTTAGTACTCTAGATTTCACTGATTTTTAAAACATATGTGGATTGTATTAAGGAAAAGCAGATCAACAAATCTAAGAAAGGTGCCAATAAGAGTTCGGACATATTAGAAATCATACATACTGATATATGTAGTCCAGACATGGACTCACATGGTCAAAGATACTTCATCACTTTTATTGATGATTATTCACAATATATGTATCTTTACTTACCTCATAACAAGACGAATCATTAGATGTGTTTAAAACCTTTAAGGCTGAAGTAGAGAAACAATGCGGAAAACAAATTAAGATAGTGAGATCAAATAAAGATGGTGAGTATTATGGTAGATATAGTAAGAGCGGACAAGCACCTAGTCTATTTGCTAACTTTCTTCAAGAACATAGGATAGTTGCCTAATATACCATGCCTAGTTCACTGAACCAAAATGGTGTAGCGGAAAGAAGAAACCAAACATTATTGGACATGGTGAGGAGTATGCTAAGCAGCTTCAATCTTCCTAAGTCCTTGTGGATTGAATCACTTAAGACGGTTGTGTATATATTATTGAGTTCCAATCAAGGTTGTCCCAAAGACGCCATTTGAATTATTGAAATTTTGGAAATCGAGTTTGCGACATATGTGGGTTTGGGAATGCCTATCTGAGGTGAGAATCTATAATCCACAAAGAAGAAGTTAGACCCAAAGACCATTAGTGGGTATTTTGTTGGATATGTTGAAAGGGCTAAGGGGTACATATTTTATTGTCCATCTCACAACACTAGGATTGTGGAATCAAGAAACACCAAGTTTCTTCAGTATGACTTGATTAGTGGGAGTGATCAAATCTGAAACAATGTTCCTAAACATGATCATTCAGATTCTTGACCTTCTACCTCAAGTGATAGATTGATCATAGTTTACAGCACCCCTCAAGTACAAAATGATGTTGAACAACCAATCATTGAAGTTTCACAAGCTACTTACAATGTTCTACTGGATCAAGTAGTTTAGATATTACCAAAACCTTCTGAACATCTAGTTGAACCACAAGCTTCTCATGAAGATAATGGTACAATATTAAGGAGATCCACTAGAACTAAGAGGTCAGCCATTCCTAGTGATTATGTAGTGTTCATACAAGAATCTAACTATAATATTGGAGCCGAGAGTGATCCTAGGTCTTTTTCACAGGCCATGAGTTGCAAAGAGTCAGAATTATGGTACAATGCCATGAAGGAAGAGACGAGTTCCATGAAGAGTAATGAAGTCTGGGACCTTATTGAGTTGCCTGATGGTGCAAAAGCCACTGGATATAAATGGGTCTTTAAGACAAATAAAGACTCATTAGGCAACATAGAGAGATACAAAGCGAGGCTTAATGCTAAGAGATTCACTCAAAAGGAAGGAATCGACTATACGGAGACTTTTTCTCCTGTATCTAAGAAAGATTCCTTATGCATCATATTGGCATTAGTAGCCCATTTTGACCTTGAGTTGCAACAAATGGATGTGAAAACAACATTTCTTAATGGAGACCTAAAGGATGAGGTTTATATGAAACAACTCAAAGGATTTCCCTCTAGTGATGGTGAGCACTTGGTCTGTAAGCTCAAGAAATCCATATACGGTCTAAAACAAGCGTCCCGCCAATGGTATTTTAAATTCCATGGGGTAATTACTTCATTCAATTTCATTGAAAACCCCATTGATCAATGTATATACTAAAAGTTAGTGGGAGTAAGATATGTTTTCTTGTTTTATATGTGGATGATATTTTGCTTGCAACCAATGATAAGGGTTTACTACATGAGGTGAAACAATTCTTCTCTAAAAATTTTGATATGAAGGATATGGGTGAGGCATCTTATGTCATTGACATCAAGATCCATAGAGACAAATTACGAGGTATCTTGGGTCTGTCTTAAGAAACCTAAATCAATAAGGTTTTAGAGAGATTTTAGATGAAAGATTGTTCACCAAGTATGGCCTCTGTTGTGAAGGGTGATAAGTTCAATTTGAACCAATGCCCAAAGAACGGTTTTGAAAGGGAACAAATGAAGAACATTCCATATGCTTCTGCTGTCGGAAGCCTGATGTATGCTCAGGTCTGTACAAGGCCTGACATCACTTTTATTGTTGGAATGTTGGGATGATATCAGAGTAATTCAGGTATAGACCATTGAAGAGCTGCAAAGAAAGTGATGAGGTACCTTCAAGGAACTAAAAACTACATGCTTATGTATAGATAGATGGACAGTCTGGAAGTAATCGGTTATTCAGATTCAGACTTTGCTGGTTGTGTTGATTCACGCAAATCAACATTAGGATATGTTTTCATAATGGCTGGTGGAGCTATATCTTGGAGAAGTGTCAATCAGTCCTTGACTGCTATTTCCACTATGGAAGCTGAGTTCGTTTCCTGTTTTGAGGCTACTTCACATGGTGTATGGTTAAAGAGTTTCATAGCTGGACTTAAAATTATGGATTCCATTTCTAAACCATTGAGAATATACTGCGATAATTCAGCTGCTGTCTTTATGGCTAAGAACAACAAAAGTAGAAGTCGAAGTAAACATATCAACATTAAGTACTTAGCAATAAGAGAATGTATTAAGGAAAAGAAAGTGGTCATTAAGCACATACGTACTGAATCGATGATCGTTGATCCTTTGACTAAAGACATGCCACCATTGAAATTTAAGGATCATGTAGAAAAAATGGGACTTGATTCCACTATGTAATTGTATGTACAATGTTTGAATGAAACTCTCATTTATTGTGATTTTTTCTCATATTCATGTGTACCTTAATTTCATTTGAGAAAATTCATCAATAGGACCAAGAACAAATATGGGGTTTATTCATTAAGTAAGGTTGCTATATATAAAGTAAACTTGAAAAATCAAATGCATTGTAATACATGGAAGATAATACTCATTTTTTGAGGACCTGTCACTATGATTCGTGTATATGTTTCTTAATGAAATAATGGTTTAAACATGTGAACCAAGTGGGAGAATGTAAAACTTACGTTCACTAACGCAACTCATGTAATTTTAATGGTCCAAATTTGTTGCTTAAGTTTTTCAAGCGTTCCACGTTATGCTTCAGTTTCATCCGTTTTGCAACTATTATAACCGGAGTTATGGAAGCCATTAAGATTGGCCATTAAAGCTTGATGTGAGCTTGGCTATAAATTGAGATTTTGGTCCCTAGGCTCACTCATTCAACTAAAAAACAAAATACACCATCATATTGAGTGTTCTGAGATCTTAGAAGAGCCAAAACGCGAGAGAGAACAATGAGTGAGTGATTGAGAGCGTCAATAGCTGGAGGTAAGTTTCTTGTTTCTCCTTTATTTATTTTGATCCCTTTAGTTTGTCAATTCCACATATAGGATCAAAGATTATCTAACAGTCATGTCATAGATTTTGTTCAATAAATGTGTAGTAGCCGATTCTAGCAATGGCAAAAGTCCTGGTAATCTATTGGAATGGGATAAGCGGCCGGCTATTAGTAAAAATGCTTGGCCCCAATTGAAAAAGATTTAAAACGCCTCATTAAGTGTCACTCAAACACCCAAAAGTCCAAGATCTTGTGTGAACCACACTGTAATTTTTCAATTTTTTGGCCTATTAATTCAATGCTTCAAGACTCCTAAACATGCGAAACCAAAGTGAGTTAATCCAAAATTGCCTCTAGAAGTAGAGTTTCGTGGAACTGAGAACTGAAGGGGGCCATAGACAATCTTTTAAGTGCAATTAGCCCATTTCATAATCTCAAAATATATTCATCTTTATATTGCTCCAAATTGTTCAAGGGGAGTGCACCTACATTTCTCCAATGCACATACACAGGGAGAAAGAGATGGAAATTAAACACAAGCTGTTGTGACATGGAAGTCAAGTGAAAGTATTCCTAAAAGGTAAAAGTCCGCAGCCCCAAGAAAACAGAATGGAGAGTAGTTTATATTATCAAAGCATAGAGGACTTCCATCCTCACAACATAAGGCAGCCTCAAAATTTAACCAATTAATCAGGGCACAAATCTATCAAAATAAAATCCAATTATCTATCAAAATTGCATCCTCATAGTTATTATGAATTAATTTTAAATTAATATTATGTGATTTGACAATCTTGCAAATATCTTTTCCGATAATTGTAAGAGTAAACGACTTTTTCCCACCCAAATAATGACTTAATGACACATTTCCATATGCAGACTTTTAATGTACCACTTTTCTACCTAAATTTATATTCAATTTTCGATTCCAACATTGTTACGACCTCACATCACCATCATTCTCTTCTCTGATCATCACTCACCAAAATCCCTTAAATCATACTCCCGTAGACCTTGCCAATTACCGGCAATCAAGGGATTAAGGTTTGTGTAGTTACCTGATGAGAGTCAGAAAATGCATCTTTTTAGTGTTTATTTGTTAGCATTTAAGATTGATTTAGGGCTGGATTTATGCCTTAATAATTCTTAAGCGTCATTCTTAATACATTGATTTATTTTGATGCATTTTCAGGTATTTTGGACTTAAAATAGATGGAAAGGCTAATAATGAGGAAAACACGAAGATTCTATGCATATCAGATTTAAGGAATGGTTTCAGAAGAATAAAACGAAGAAAATTTCTGGTGCACTACGACGTGGACGCGATTTTCTGTTTTTTTCATGGAGTTAGATTTCTCGATTGCAAAAGTGTTCTTCAGAGAAATTAAAGTAGACGAATCGAGCTTTTCAGCAAGGTATTATGGGCGAGAATCCAAGTTCGTTTGGGTTCTCAGTAGTTGTTGTAAAACTGGACCTGGAATCCTAGTCACGGAAGGATTTCCTGGCTGAGTATTGAATATTCGAACGGGCCTAACTAGAGCGTCAGATATCGAAATCGGGTAATTCAAGAGCCCAGATTCATCTACACATCCGGGACTACAATTGTTATGAAGTGACCAAGCCCAAAAAAAGATCTTTTTCATTGCGAGAATCCTGGTGCAAGCTGGAGACGAATTCTGTTTTCCATATCTGATAAGATTTTGACAAATCTGGAAGTCTATCCTTTAGGAAACGTCTAGGAAAGATTTTCCATGAGTCCTGGGGAGAATTAAGGAAAACACATGTTATTTATTGAAGAGTGTTAGGTTAACCAAAAGGGGGAGAGACGGCAGTGGAGTTTTTTTTAGAGAGAGTTTCCGTTTTTTTTTTCTTCCTCAAGAATGAACTCGATGTCTAACTAAACTCCAAGCAAGGCGAAAGGATGAACTCCTAGGTGTAGTTGTTCTTATTTCTATCTTTGACTCAGCTGTATGGATTGATTGTTGAACATTGCTTATTAATTTACTCTTTGATTAAATAAGAAGGATTTGAATTTAATTGACAACTTTATTTATCTTCTTCTTCTCTTAGAATTTCTTAATCCGGTGATTGCAATCTTCTTCTCCATATAAGTCTAGTCAAGCTTTTCTTATATCAAAGTTGTTAGATGCAATTGATTTCGGTAGATTTATCTTATAGAATTGTCCATTACTACAATATTATTATTNTCATATTGAGTGTTCTGAGAGCTTAGAAGAGTCAAAATGCGAGAGAGAACAGTGAGTGATTGATTGAGAGTGTCAATGGCTGGAGGTAGGTTTCTTGTTTCTCCTTTATTTATTTTGATCCCTTTAGTTTGTCAATTCCGCATATAAGATCAAAGATTATCTAACAGTCATGTCATGGATTTTGTTTAGTAAATGTGTAGTAGCTGATTCTAGCAATGGCAAAAGTCCTGGTAATCTATTGGAATGGGATAAGCGGCCGGCTATTAGTAAAAATGCTTGGCCCCAATTGAAAAAGATTTAAAACGCCTCATTAAGTGTCACTCAAACACCCAAAAGTCCAAGATCTTGTGTGAACCACACTGTAATTTTTCAATTTTTTGGCCTATTAATTCAATGCTTCAAGACTCCTAAACATGCGAAACCAAAGTGAGTTAAGTCAAAATTGCCTTTAGAAGTAGAGTTTCGTGGGACTGAGAACTGAAGGGGGCCATAGACAATCTTTTAAGTGCAATTAGCCCATTTCATAATCTCAAAATATATTCATCTTTATATTGCTCGAAATTGTTCAAGGGGAGTGCACCTACATATCTCCAATGCACATACACAGGGAGAAAGAGATGGAAATTAAACACAAGCTGTTGTGACATGGAAGTCAAGTGAAAGTATTCCTAAAAGGTAAAAGTCCGCAGCCCCAAGAAAACAGAATGGAGAGTAGTTTATATTATCAAAGCATAGAGGACTTCCTTCCTCACAACATCAGGCAGCCTCAAAATTTAACCAATTAATCAGGGCACAAATCTATCAAAATAAAATCCAATTATCTATCAAAATTGCATCCTCATAGTTATTATGAATTAATTTTAAATTAATATTATGTGATTTGACAATCTTGCAAATATATTTTCCGATAATTGTAAGAATAAACGACTTTTTCCCACTCAAATAATGACTTAATGACACATTTTCATCTGCAGACTTTTAACATACCACTTTTCTACCTAAATTTATATTCCATTTTCGATTCCAACATTGTTACGATCTCACATCACCACCGTTCTCTTCCTTGATCATCACTCACCAAAACCCCTTATACCATACTCCCGTAGACCTTGCCAATTACCGGCAATCAAGGGATTAAGGTTTGTGTAGTTACCCTTCTCAAGTCAAATTTTGATCGATCCCAATCACCAAAATCTAACCTTCCACCATAAAAAAACTCATCAGCCTCCATTCTTTAAAAGCCCCAACAGTCTATACTGAATTTACTCTTTGTTCTCTGTTGGAATATAAATTTAGATAGTAAAATGACATTTTAAAAGTCTGTGGGTGGAAAAATGTCGTTAAGCCATTATTATTTGGATGGAAAAAAGTAAATATGGAAATATAATCATATAAGTAAGAAATTAAAATAATTGTATATAATTATTAGGATTAGTAATTAAAACTTGTCAAAACCTGTAATATCTTATATAATAATTTTATTCAAGATTAAACTTAGTTTAAATAAATAAATTTAAAAAAAAAAAGGCTAAAAATCAGAAATCGTATGATAAATTGTGATAAATGGCATAGGCGTGAGAAGCCCAGCCGGCCAGCCCACACGTAGAAGCAATAAATACAAAACGGAAGAAGCGATTCAGATATTTCAGTAATCCAATTGGTGAGAAGGAGAAGCAATCAAATCAACAACTCGACGCATGATAATGAATGCAATACGATTCGTCCCTTCTTCCCTTTAACTCCTTCCCACCAATCACCAACTTCCACTTTCTTTTCTTTTATTCACACTTCCTTCATAACTTCTTGGAATTTTTGTTTTCACTTTTATAAATTTAGAGCCCCTGATCTCAATAACCATATCAGTATTTACATGGCTCTTCACTCACTACCCATTTCCTTTTTCTCCCTTTTTGCCTTCTTTTTCATCCCAGTTTCTCTTTCCGTTCCCTTCATAGTACTCCATGGTAACTCTCTCTCTCTCTCTCTCTCTCTCTTTTAATTAATTAATTTGGTTTGATGTGTTAGTTTTTATCGTAATATGAAGTCTGAATTTTGTTTTGCTTACTTTTTTTTGGTCTATGTGTAGACATAATCGCCTTTCCTTTATTGGCTGAAGAACTGAAATAACTTTAATTAATTTGAGTCTTCTGAATTCCTGTTGTTGAAGAAATTTAGTATGTTGTATCTACTGCCAAACCTTTTTGTTGATTAATTAAACTTTCAAGTTTTGTAAGATGATGTTTTATTACTGCCCAGTTTCATTATGAAGGTTGAGATATATCTGGAACGACTTTGTCCTGAAAAGAGTGAATATCGCATAATTTGATCCAATTAAGTATCTCAAGTTTGGCTGTGTGTGTTGGAATTAAATGTGCCTTTCGAATTGTGCATTCATACAAGTTAATTTTTAATGTATTAATTTTTCATTCATAAGAAAGAAATTAATGGAGTGCCAGAAATCTTTTTTTAAACATATTGTTCAATGAATAGATTCAGTATCTGTAGTTTACTTAACCGAAATTTTTTAGTTTTTTTCATATTTAATGCTTTTCAGCATCTTGGTTCTAGTCTAATTTTTTAATGGCAGGTATTGGAGATCAGTGCTCCAATCGAGGAATGAAACAGTTTACTGAGCAACTCGCCGAACTTGCTGGTGTTAAAGGATATTGCTTGTATGTTATCAGTGTTCCTTATTTTTCTCATGCTTAAATCAGCCTTAATGTAATTCTAATTATGCATTAAAGTATATTGTAACTAGTCTTTAGAACCCAGTCTTGTTCTTTTAGTGCTATAATGCTTGTGGAACAATTATAGATGATTATGATGACAATTATCAGTTGATTTAACACTCTTAATCTAACTTGAGGAAAATTTGAAGCAATTGTAGTTATTTGTGATTTTTGTTCCTTAAAGTGACAACTTGGACAGAAGAAACAATCCACACTGTTATTTTCTTTTCTCCCCCATACGTGATGCTATTGCTTCATTTATTTTATTCTGCAGAGAAGTTGGGGATGGAACATGGGATTCCTGGTTTAAGCCTCTTGAAGAACAGGTAAAAGCATGATAATTGCTTCTAAGCTTTTCATTTTGGTTGTAATATTTTTAGGTGACTGATTGGAGGCTGATCTGTGTTTTACTTTTACAGACTCAAATTGTTTGTGACAAGGTAACTAAGCTCTCTGGTTAGTTGGGTTAATCAACTGGTCCGCGTTAGTAGTTCTATCTGCCTTTGACAAATATTCTACATATAGGTGAAGGAAATGAAAGAACTGAGAGAAGGTTACAGCATAGTTGGTCTCTCCCAGGTAATTTATTGGCATTGCAACATTTCAGCTTTCCAATTTCACATGTTTCTTATAATTGTCACTTTTTATTAAAGTAAAGGATTCTTTCTTTTAATCTTTTAACATAGCTTTCCAATTGAATTGGAATTGAAATTTAAAACTACTTTGAGGTTGTTTACATGGTTACAGAATTGAAGCAATATATAACAGACACTCAATGAGGTCTTGATCCTTCCATCTCTATGTTATGTTGCAAATATTTTAACTATATAGGTTTTAGTTTGTAAAAAAAATACTGATTCTCTATTCTTTTCTAATCATGAATAGTTAGATGAATAAATACGTTGATAAAAGAAAAGGATAATGTATTTTTTAATTGAAATAATCTGTTTATGGTTCTTTCCTTGTATCTGTGCTTTAATGCAGAAAATTACCTTTTTAGATTTTTTATATTTCTTGGTGTAAATTTTCTGGAAACTTGTATTTACTGGTTTCATTTTTATTATTGTTTTTTTTTTTGAACAGGGTAACTTAATAGGTCGTGGTGTGATTGAGTTCTGCGATGGTAGTCCTCCCGTAAGAACCAATTTATTGTGAAGTTCCGAACTATACACTGATTTCTTATGACATTTTCTAAAATTACTAATTTCTTTTACAGTCTTTAATTATGCGCTTGAAACTTTGAGAAAAGATAATCATAAGTTCTTCATGATTCAGCTGAGTAATCCCAGCTGGGCTTACTGATTAACAAGATTTGTTCAGGCCTCTTTTGACGAGTTTCCATCAATCATTTTAACAGGTAAAAAAATTTATCTCCTTAGGAGGTCCTCATGCTGGTACTGCATCTGTGCCTCTCTGTGGTGTAAGTATTGTTGCCTATCATCTATTTACTGTAATTGATTCAAATATGGAAGGAAAGTCAGGTATAATTTGGCATATCCGTAGTCAATTGAATGCTTTATTTTACTTTACTCCAATTTGGAAGGTAAACTACTACGTTAACTGAGCTTTATGCAAAAAATTTGAAAGCGTGAAGGGCTTGATGAGTCACATATTACAGATGTGCAATAAATAATAAAAAAATTTCAAGGAACGGTTTTATTCCCAGTTAGAATTTTGGTTGTCTTATCTTGAGCTATAATTGGTATTATGGATTGTCCTTTTGCAGTCTGGTGTTTTATGCAAAATTGCAGATACACTGATCAAGTCAGAGATCTACAGTGACTATGTCCAAGTATGATCTTGTGTGAGCTTCTTTTAAGTTTAACCCCAACATTCTTATAATGATGTGTCTATCAAGGCTTGACATTGTTTCTTCGGTATGTGGAATCACAGGACCATTTGGCTCCCAGTGGATATCTTAAATTTCCAAATGTGAGTAGTATACATTGATAGACCAGAGATGATGTTGTGCTGAAGTTTTTCTATTGCATTATCTGGTGTTCTCAATTTTTTCAAGAAGCCATATAGTTATGAATCAAACAGGAATCAAAAGCCTGATCTATACTAATGATTTCCAGGATATCTCCAAATATTTGAGTAAATGCAAGTTTCTTCCAAAGCTTAACAATGAACACCCTGATCAGAGGAACTCCACTTACAAGGAACGGTTCAGTAGCTTGCAGAATTTGGTGCTTATAATGGTGATTAATAAGAACTTATCCTTTCCCCTATTGTAAAATATCTCTGCATTGTACAATTACCAGGTTTACCTAAAGAAAAAAAAAAAAAAAACCTCTCTTTTGGTTAGAATTTTCTCAGTTTAAGCCAAAGGATATTCATATTTTCACCATCTTATGATTCTACTTTCTACAGTTTGAAGATGACAAGGTTTTGATACCCAAGGAAACCTCCTGGTTCGGATATTACCCTGATGGAGCCTTCAATCCAGTTCAACCTCCCCAAAAGGTATTGAAAAAAAAAAAGAGTTTGCATCTGCGATATCATTCATTTTCATTTCTGTGCTTCATACACGGCATGTTAAATTTTCAAGTTTTAGGAGGATTTTCAGTTCTCTATACATGCTATTTTTATGTGCAGACAAAACTTTACACTGAAGATTGGATTGGACTGAAAAGCTTGGATGACGCTGGAAGGGTGAAGTACATCAGTGTGGCAGGAGGTCATCTCGGAATCTCGAAAGCTGATATGAAGGAGCATGTTGTGCCTTACTTGAAGGATCAGGCATTGGTGAGGGAAAGTGAAGAAAGAGATCATAGCCTTAATTACAGAGTGACAAAAAACAGAAAGACAAAGCAAGGGAATGAGTTAGCATCTTCTGAACTGGTATTAGATGGATCTTTATCATATAGGTGGCCCTCTTCAGTCACGAGCTTCATTGCAGAATTACTTGATGCAGACGTTGACTCTTCATCACATCCTTAATTAGAAAATATATATATTCATAGCTAGAGGCTGCTGATGATTGATGAAGATCATTTGTAATACTGTGACGTGAGTGCTTTCACAAAGAAGCCCGAGCTGTCTGTACTTTAAGCTATGTGAAACTTATACGGGGTAACTTGAGGAAAACCTTGGAATACAATCCACACGAACCAAATATATAATAATAATTTATATTTATATTATTCTTCAAGGGTAATCCTATCTTTTTGGTAATTAAACATTATCAGAACCAAACATCTCCTTAATATCATCTTACCCGTAAAACTTTACTTTTCTAAAACAATGATTGATAGACAAAATTGGGGTGACTTAAGAAAGAATCCTGCACGTGGAGAATTGAGAGAATATTACAAATTTGTGTTGGGAACCATTCAGCTGAGTTTTCAGGATCGGTATAAATACCTTGGACTCTCATGCACCAACACCAACTATTCAGACAAAAAAAGTTACATACAAAAAGAAATCATTCAACAAGTTGAGCTCATTGTTATTTGACACCAAAAATGAGGGCATTTATGTCTGGAATTTTTATTAAGGGTAAAATTGAAAGAAAAATAGGATTATCATAGTAATCTTAAAATACAACCTTCTAAGACGATAATCATATAACCCTTGTATCATCTCTCATATCTTTTATTACCTGAAGCACCAAACAGAGTAATAACCAGATTAAAAGATAGATTACAAGAATCTTCTTAGAGCCCTAACCATTCGCAGCCTAACATCTATGTAGTTGTCAAGCATAACCGTTATTGGTCATCATCACAAGTCTTACTAAACCAATGCCACTGCCAATGAAGAGCAAATCAATGACAGTTGGGTCATGAAAAGCCTCCAGCCACCATTCCCAGGCCAAAGGTTTAAAACATCAAACAGAAAATGCAAATATTATTCGCTTGGCCTGTACTGCCTCAATTTCTTTCCATCTAACTCAAGAAAAGGACTCAATTTACAGGGGAAAAACACAGTTGAAGTTCTGCCTAAAGAAACATTATTTGCACTTTATATACTGGAAGGAAATTAAAAGACAGAAAACTTGTAAAACAACTTTATATGCAACTGCAGTGAGCTCTCAGTAGACATGAATGTCTACACTAATACCTCCCAGGTGATCAGCACTTATTGAGCAGCTGCTTACCCGGCCCAATTTATTTCCTGGAAGCTTCTGCTGGGTGTGGCAACGAAACCACATGCATGAGATTCTAGCCAGAGCTGCTTGACCAGCAACTCGAACTCGGTAGACCACACTCAGATCTGCCCATATCTCACTCCCAACATCACTGGAAACAAGGCTTGAGTCATATCCGTCAAGATCTGATTCTGTTACAATGACTACAGAGCTATCATCAAATGCCACAAGTTCTTGCGCAGTCATTGAACGTGGAGCTCTCAAGACATGACCAGCCACATGTCTGTAAACACAAGCCTTGTTCACTCTTAGGTGGTAGTATTCCAGAACAGCCTGCAATGATAACCAACAAAAACAAATGTTATCAGAAGATACAAAAAAATAAAAATAGACCCATCAGCGAACTGATCCACAAATGGCAACATTATATAGGCTGCTTGCACACCAAATCTAACCATCCAATCTAGTGTACTCAAACATATGATCTCTTCAATAAAATAGTGGGAAAATTAGAGGCCCCAAAGAATTGCCAGGGTTGAATACTTGCTTACCTGCCACTGTGCAGAAGCTAAAAGTACCCTTGGCCTGATGGATTTCACATAATCATAGGCGTCATCTGGTGTCATCTGCTTATGATGCACCTACAAATAAAAAAAATTCAAAGTTAGAAGTAAAAAAGAAAATAGAATTTCAGAAAAGGTGAAGTCTCCAACAAATAAGCAAAAGCAATTTTATGAGTAACATTTACCAGGTAACAAATCACAATGGTTGTGCTACGTCCCCGGCCAGCTTTACAGTGAACATATGTTGTTTGCCTACTCAATGCGTTTTCTTCAAGACAACATAAGGAAGTTCAGATAAATAATTTTGCTTAGAGGAAAATTTATATGTTAAAATATGAAGTAAACATTATCTAACTTCAAATTATAAATTTCTTAACTTCTAAAACTCTATTTCTCCTCCTACAGAGAAGACAAAAAAAGATGAGATATTAATAAGACCCATTAGAAAAACTGATATCTACAGAACAATTAATAATTTCCAGATCAAAATTCAACATACAGTTACTAGCTTGATGACTGAATCTAGGAGAAAATAAAGAACTTGCACAGGAAAGGCATCCTTCTAACCCTCATACAAAGCATAGACCACAACAATCAAGGCACATGTATCATAGGATCCACCTTAGGTGGACTCCACATAGCAGATAGAAGGCAAACAGAGAGAACATGAGTACTTATTGGACCTTCAGATTTAAATTTAGCTTCACATTTTACATTCAAAGCATCATCAATAACTGTCTGATCAGGTGGTCACATGCATCATAGGATCCACCTTAGGTAGACTCCACATAGCAGATAGAATGCAAACATAGAGAACATGAGTACATATTGGACCTTCAGATTTAAATTTAGCTTCATATTTTACATTCAAAGCATCATCAATAACTGTCTGATCAGGTGGTCCAAGGTGATCCCTCCAAATTTTGATACATGCACAAAATCCAACATTACAACCAAATGGAACTTGATGAAGAATCAAGCACTCAGACCAACAATTTTACATTTCTTTCCAATTATCCTTACCGTGAATAAAGTCTACAGCTTGAGATATGTAACTCAAAGATGGTGCAAAGCAGTAGTCTCTTGTTGGAATCACCAAATGGTCAATACCGTTGGCCTATCAAAAATTTAATTAACAATCAATATTATTCAGAGATTAGATAAAGGGATGAGGAATTTTAATGAAAAAAGCCAGTAATATCAAGGACGAAAGTTAACAAATTGTATAAAATATGAGAGATCTTGAGATTGTAGCATTAATTATTTGATTGGTGAGCTTACAGCTCCATTTCTAACAAAACCATAAACCTTAAAAATTTTCATATAACATAACTTAGCAACAATTAAAATGGGAGACTCTGTAACTTAAGAACAGAAGTAAGCTTTAAAAGCCTCACAGTGCTCATTTAGATAACATATAAGTAGTATAATACAGGTAAACAAAAAATCCAGAATGTCATAAAAGCTGATAAAAGAACTCACATGATACAGGGATGTTGGGACTAAAGTCTCATATGGTTCATTTAGTGTGACCACTCCGCCAACACCAAGACCCTTTAGGTGTGGAACGTCAACAGGAAATGGAACAGCTCCTAACAGTAAAAACTGAAAATAAAAGTATTAGACGTATCTATTGCTTACCACCACATTATAACAACTTCCCAATGTGAATCGTACAATAAAAATCCAAAATAACTCAAAAAATTCAGAAACTCTCATAATCTTGACTCCAGAAATATAATCAGTAAAAAAGGGGCAAAATAAGTTCTCACATAATGCAAGCACAAAATGACAATAAAAAGAGGTAAACAATCTGCGTTACCTCAGAATCCTTTAGACAAATATTCATGGGCATACACAGAAAATTTATACCTCAAAAATAATAAAGAACCTGAATTGACATATCATCTAAAACAAAATCAAATACACAAAGACATAAAACCACAAATCAAAACAAAAAACTAATACATTAGTTTATGCTTCATCCACCAGGTTCATGAAATTATTAAAAATATTATCTAAATCACACAACCGCTCAACTTAAAACAATTAAATAATTTCCAAGCATACAAAAAAAGAGAGATTGTCATAAATGCCAAACCCATCAATGTACAAAAACAAGGATCATCATCCAACTCCGAGATTATATCATCATACACAAGCTAAAGCAATTATGATTCGCATAATACTACATATACAATATTTTTATACAACATTTCTCACACATCATAATGTGGTAGAAGATGATTAGCCGATTTTAAATTAAAAATAAACTTTCACTTAATTATCTTTTGCCATATCATGTTGTATGAGAAATGATGTATCAAAAGATGATTAGCTGATTTTAAATTAAAAATAAACTTTCACTCAATCATCTTTTGCCACATGATGTTGTATGAGAATCATGTTGCATGAGAAATGATGTATAAAAATGTTGTATGTGTATTATTACTCTTATAATTCAACCATATCATAAAGATAAAAAAATCGTATTTAAAGAAATTATACCTCACCAACACGATCCCACCACCGGAACTCAGCCTGAAACTTGTTCCTAACAACATTGTAAAGCAGAGTCGGGTAAAACAGGGCACGAGCTCCTGCACCAACCAAAACCCTCTTCGTCCCAGAAACGACAATGGTTCCCCTCTTAATTTTGCTACCAACGGAAAGGAAAACGTTTTGTCCACACGAATTTAAAGTCTCCTCTTCTCCACTTTCCACGACAACCTCCGCTTCCTCTCCTCCTTTCAACTCCTCAATATACATAATATACAAGCCCGAATTGAAAACAATCACAGAAAAATAAAAACAGTAAAAGAAGCCCTAATCACACAATCGAGAACAATAAACACGATCAATTGATGGTATGATTAATTAACACGCCAAAACAAAATCTTTTCACATCATTCGAAACAACAACAAAAGAAAACCCTAACTTTTCAGAGGATTGATCGGCAAAGCCTTGAACTTGAACATGAAATGCGATTAAAAGAAGAAATTGATAGAGAAACAAACGAATTGAGTTTTCCAGACGAAACAAAGACCATATTTGGCAAGAGCGGGGGTTGATCGGACGGTAAAAACGAGGCGGGAGAGATAGCGGTAAGATCGATCGGTGATGAATGGATGGATTAAGAGAATTTTGGAAGCCAAACTCAAACCCTAGAATTGAGAATTGATATTTTTCTTGAGATTGGAGACAGAGAATAGCCTCAGTTCCACACTTTCACCTTTCTTTGCTCTGTAACAAACTTTGAAAACGGATGAGAGAGAGAACGCCATTTACAAAGAATAGATTTGGGGTGGAAGGGATAAAGTAACCTGCGATGTTTAAAGGCGACTGTGAGACCGAGATATATGATTGACACGTGTCATGAGAGTATGGGAAAGGGGTATGGGTATGTTTTTGAGGTAGTAATTGGGAATTGGCCACATGTAATAATGACCGTTAGATTGGAATTGGATTTAAAAGTTTCGGTGGAGTCAT